ACACTAAATTGTCAATGTTGGCTATCAAGGTGGCTGTAGACCGCCGTTATTGTGGTTCGCGCTCCAATGGTGATCTAGCCTCCGTTTAAAAATATCGACGTATGCCGACATATCAACATCCTCAGGCAAAGCATTCCAAGCTGCAGCCACTCTGTTGGAGAAGAAGAACTTCCGTGTGTCTTGCCGGGCACCAGTCACACGCAGGTTGTGTGGATGGCCTCTCAGGTTTGTCGTAGTCGCCAACTCGAAGAAGTCTCCTGATGCGAGGCAGCAGCCCTGATTGCGCACGATGCGGAATGCTTGTATCAGGTCCCCGCGTAGCTGTCTGTAAGTCAAAGGAAAGAGGGTAAGATTAGCTAATCGTGTTTCGTAGGGTAGTGACCACTGCCCAGATACAAGTTTCGTTGCTCGCCGTTGAACTTTTTCCAGTTTGGCAAAGTCTTTGGCGGTCCAGGGTCTCCATGCTTGGATAGCAAACTCAAGATGCGGTCGCACGAAGGTTTGAAAGACCTTGGCAAATCAGTCTTCATCAAAGTAGGAGAACGCCCGTTTGACGAGGTATAGAATGGACATCGCCGACTTGGCCACCTTTGAATATTGCAGCCAAGGCTTCAGCGAGGTTGTGATCCATACACCCAAGTCCTTCTGGGCGTCGACTTCTTGCAGTGCTTTTGTCAGTCAGACGGAAGACCGTGTGGTTAGGAGAACTGGTTCTGCCGACACGTAGGAAATTGCACTTGTTTACGTTGAACGGTAGAAGCCAGTCTTTCGACCATTGATGGAGGTGGTGCAGGTTTGTCTGCAGTCGCGCCTCGTCAACTTCGCTTCGTATGGTACTCCAGATCTTTATGTCATCGGCAAACATTGCGACATCGAAATTCCGTTCGTTTGCGCAGTCATTGACGTATACGAGGAACAGTGTAGGGCCCAAAACAGAGCCTTGGTGAAAACCACTCCTAACGGCAACCTCGGCAGATTGCTGGTCACTGACCTGGACGGCATGAGAGCGGCCGAGTAAAAAGCTCCGAATCCACATCAGAAGCTTACCTCGCACTCCTGAACGGCTAAGTTTGTATAGAAGGCGGCGGTGAGGCACACTATCGAAGGCCTTTTTAAAGTCGATATAGATGACATGCACCATATCTCCTCTATCAACAACCCTAGTCCAGTGTTCCAGACAGTAGAGCAGGTTTGTCACACAGGATCTGTTTTTGCGGAATCCATGCTGGAAATCGGAAAGCAAATGGTTTTGTTAAAGGAACTGCATTAATTGTTGCTGAATTACATCCCAATTATATGGGAAGGGGGTAGAAGTAAAAACATGTCAGTGATAAGATAAATTGATTAACGATCGCCTTAAAACATAGGCTGGGTGTGGGAATGCGTGGGAGGGGGAGGGCGGGGGAGGGGGGTAATGGCAGCCCGTGTCATGGGCGGGGTGAGAGCGGAAAGGCGCGGGAGAGTTGTAGCGTTAGTCGACCTTCGACCACTGTAGGCGCGGGGCCTGAACGTGATTCTTCTGTGCGCACAAGATTGGTTTTCACAACCTGATGGCGGCCGCTTTTGCTGTTGTTAACAAGCTCTGTCCCAGTCGTTTGGGATAGCACGATGGGACCTTATAGATCACACGGAACGCTTCATTGGGGTCTACATGATGTCCGCAATCGACAACATGCACGAGAATGGCGCTGGTCATGTGAATGACGGCTCCACAAAGAGGATTACATATGTCACCGTGACCTCGAACACCAAGCAGTCGGCGCACATGTCCCCCGACTATATGTTCTACCTAACGTCTATAAGGAAGGCAGACTGCAGGGTTAGACTGATAATCGATTCCCTCGTTTTTGTCGGGATCGTAGTGTGAGCTTTCGATGGTAAATGTATACCTTTCGAAAACAGAAATGGTTAAAAAACATATATTCGGGTTAACGGCAGGCATTCGCGAAGAGCAGCATTTGGCGCAGCAACGTTTCCTTGTTTCTCCGGCTGATATTATTCAGTCTGGTACGCAAACGTCCAGTCCAGGCGTCGAAAACTATATGCGAGGGCGTATTTAGACATATCAAGGTATAACTAGGTTCTTCGAAGTCTGAAGTGTCATTTAAGATGTTTAGTGGTTGGGGAATGTAAAGCGATAATTTCCAGACTTCAAACAATCTGCAACAGATAAAGCAGCTTCAGATAAGGCAGATTCAGATAAAACAGCTTCAAATCACTTTTTCGGTCACTTTCGTCACGCTTTAATTCTATATTTTGGGTGGGAACATATTGAGGCACTGTTTTCTAAAAATTATTTTAAAATTGCGAAAATTCCCATAGCAGTAATCAGAAAAAGACGTGGCGAGCATACATAGATTTCGATAAATTCTCGTCGGGCCAGTACAATTACATGGGAAGGGGTGAGAAGTTAAAGCATGTTAGTGGTCAGATAAATTGATCAAAGCTCCAAAAGATCCGGTTCGGTATGTACAAAATCAGTCTTATTTTACAATTGATAATATATTGCTTGAAGTATTATTCCCTGGTCTTAAATTTTGTATACCACGTTGAAACGTTAATCAGTTAGAATTGGAAACTCATTTCGAGAAATTATAGAACTAAACCTATGATCTAGTGCCCGCTTCCACAGACAGTATCCAACACTTTAAATCCACACTGGTGAATTGCAGTTATCAATACCTGAACAAGGGGCCAAAATGTCGGGAATTGCTGACAAAAGCACACGTGCAAAGGTTAAAAGAACTTCAAGAGAACAAAGATATCTTGGTAGAGACATGCGTCGTTATAATGAACAGATCGGACTACACAGCAAAGATACAGTCCATATTATCAGACCAGAAGAAATTCAAGAAGGTAGACAAAGAAAAAGATTGTACGGATAAAGTAGAAGCGAAACTGACTGACTGTCTAAGACGGCTCGACACAGGAGGTTACATAAGTGACCGTGACTTTGAACACCTCCGAGCAGTCGGTTATATGGTCTACCTAAGGTCCATAAGGAAGGCCTGCCAATCCGTCCGATTTGAGACATGCGGAACCCACGGTATCATGCGATAGCAAAGTGGCCAGCAGAGAAACTCCAACCCGTACAGCATCAGCTAGCACCACGCAGCTATTGAGATACCTTTGAATTCATTAACGACATTGAAGACCTTAACCGCAACGGCATGATGATGTTCCGCTGGACGTCTCATCACTTTTTGCAAACGTTCCCCTTACCGAAACAGTTGATTGCATCTGTGAATTTCTATCAAACAATCAGCAGGAAATAGGAATTCTGACGAAGACACACAAGGAACGATTACTAAGATGCACATTATATGTGCAGTTCCTGTTCGACAACCAACTCCACAGACAAGTAGACGGCGTTGCCATGGGCTCACCCCTTGGACCTCTCCTAGCCGATGTCTTCATGGGAAAAATGGAGAGATTTCACTAAGCGATCAGGTCGATAAGGTTAAACATTACGGTCGCTTTGTTGACGATATCTTTGCCAATGCCACTGCAGAAACCAATGTAGCAGCCCTCTTAGATGCGGCAAATCAGGCACATCCGTCGATCAAATTTACGCTGGAGATGGAAACGGCCGGTTCGCTCCCTTTCTTAGATGTTCTGGAGCGACTTGAACGTGCACTTCCTATTCGACGACAACAATCTTTATAGAAAGACAGACGGAGTAGCTATGGGCTTGCTCGTCACTTGGCCCGCTTTTGACGCCCAGAATTTTTTCCTACAATTTGCGCCCACAATTGGCGTGGGTCAAATCCACTATGCTAGCCACCCGCACTCCCGCCCGCCCGCCCGAATGTTTTTACCTTCGCCGCCGGGACCCACCTTCTCCCTGACTCTGACTGCAGTTCTGTTCTTTCGCTCTCCCTCTTTCCTCCCCTGCCCTCCCCTCTCCAAACCCTAGGTACAACTTAATTATCTACGTGCCCGTGTTTCCTTTTCATTCATTACTTCTGAACGAGAAGCAGACTTATGCTCGCCAAATTGCCTTTTGAATTTTACGATGGCAATTTTCGATCTTGGGCGTGTTATCTTGTGTGAAATAATCAGTGGGATCTAAACAGCAATCTAGGCCGTTGATAATGCGAAATGTTAGTATAAGTTCACCACGTAATTGCCTGTAGGAATGTGGAAACAGTCGGGTTTCGTAAGCCAGCGCTCCCAGACCTTGTGTCATTTTGGTCGCCCGTCTCTGGACCTTATCCAAATGCGTATAGTCATTGGCAGTCCAAGTTCTCCACGCCTGTATGGCGTATTCTAGTTGAGGCCGCACGTAGGTGTCTAATAATTTGGAAAAACAGTCTTTATCAAATCCCATGAATGCTCGCTTAATGAGTTGCAGTGTAGCCATTGCCGATTTAGCAGCCTTCGCGCAGTGCAGTGTTGGTTTGAGTGAAGATGTAATCCATACACCTAAGTCCTTCTGACTGTCAACCTGTTGCAGCGGTGTGCCGTGTAGAAATTAAGTCCTAGGGGCTGGAGGCTCCGAAGCTGCCTAGTTTAAGAAAGTTGCACTTGCTTTTATTGAAGGGCATAAGCCAGCGCTTCGACCAGTCTTCGAGACTGTTCAGGTTTGCTTGCAGGTGGTCTGCGTCTGCCGCATTGTGAATAACTTTCCACAATTTAATGTCGTCGGCAAACAGGATGGTATCACAGTCTAGGTCCTTGACGCAGTCATTTAATGAGAACGAGGAATAACGTGGGACCTAAGACTGAGCCCTGTGGGACGCCACTCACCACGCTTACCTCCGAGGACTGTTGCCGCCCGACCTGCACTCTTTGGGACCGTCCAGCCAAAAAGCTCTGGATCCGTACAAGAAGGCGTCCACGAATTCCTCCGTGGAGGTGGTGGTGCTGCTCGAGGAACTGCATCAAGACCTTCAGACGTTCCTTCAATGTCAGCAGTTGATGCCGGTCGATAACGATAAAGGTATCATCCACATACCGGGTCCAGAACTTCGGTTTGTGATGTTGGAAGACCAGCGAATCTAACCGTTGTAGGACCGCCTCGGCAATGAGCCCCGAATTCGGCGAACACATTGGTGTGCCTTCACCTGTTCGTAGATTGTCCAGTCGAAAGTAAAGTACGTCCTGAGACAGAACTTCAGGAGCTGAAGGACTTGGGCGCGTCCAAGACGATTCTCCGTTTCATCGTATTTACTTTGTAGAAGCAGGTCGATTGTCTCGATGGGCAGGTCCTGGGGAATAGAAGTAAAACGGGGTGTAACATCAAAAGATACCATGACCTCATTTGGGTGGAGGCCTTCCCCCTTGAATTTCTCCAGGAATTCTGCTGACGAAGAGACCGTGGTGTCTGACTCAGCGTTCAGGAACTTAAGACGCCGGAACAGCCACTTAGCCAGTCCGTACGTTGGCGTACCTTTTAGCGACACGATGGGTCGGAGAGGGGCGTCGTCTTCGTGCACCTTAGGGAGGCCATAGAATCGGGCCAAAGCCCTAGCTTGGGGTCTCGCCATGCGTCTGTCGGTCGGTGTTATTGCACCTGAGTTCTCCAAGGCCAACCACGTAGCATTAATTTAGCGTGTCAGCAATTTTACAGGGTTCGTTGCACATGGAACATAGAACTGTCGGTCCTCCAGTAAACCTTTGGCTTTTTGAAGGTAGTCTGTCCTGTCCAGCACAACCGTGGAGCTCCCCTTGTCCGCTGGCACGATGACCAAATCTTTGTCGGCCTTGAGTTCTCTAAGCGCATCACGTTCGACCTTGGAAAGCACGTCTCGCGGCCTGTGGGCCATTAGGGGAGACGACACTTGGTGTCGGATGAGGCTCTTGGTCTCAACCGTTGCCCCCGTCTGACTAAGGATTGATTCCACTGCTGCGATCATGTTAACACTTTTGGTGTCAGTCGTGTTGAATGAAGCTTCGTGCCTTAAAACCTGCATGTGATCCTTCGTCAGCTCCTTTGACGACAGGTTTGTCGTTTCTGGGCGACGTTGGATTTGGCAACTTTCGGAATTTGTTCTCCAGTGCTGCGTCGCATATCATTCTCTGTTCACGGGCTTGTTCAGCTATCCTCTGCAGGTGCAGATTTGTACCGATCTCGCCCATGAACTCACAGCATTTGGTCATTTCTTGGTCAATCCTTTGACGGTACTTGCGGAGTCTCGCGTGGCAATCTTGGAGAAGCACTCGGATCAACCTTCTGCCACGTTGACATACTGCTCGTCTCGACAAATCTGTATTAACCGGAGGCATGAATGAAACACATTTCGGCAACACATAATTGTCGGGACACCTGGAGAGGGCTTCGACAGGACTTCCCTACGTTGTGGGAGTATTCACGAGGGCAAATCACAATGTAAGCTTCCTAAAGATGCAAGTCGGTACGTACACAATTATTCGTGCATATCTCTTGATAAATCATCGATTGAAGCCTTATGGTTGGTTCCTAAGTTTTGCTGTCCTCGCCAGAATCCCAACCACTTAGAGTTTCATGAACCTCTTGAACCAATCACATGACATTCAGCCAGTTTCGATAGAGAGCCTACAACCACTTTAGTGAACGTTAGCCAGTCAGTCCAGTTCAGTGTATTAAGGGAAATATATGCGAGCGCCTTTGAACTCCCTATTGGTTACAAGTCGTAGGAGAAATATATTGATATTTGCGAAGTTGAAAAATGGGTTTTGTACGTAATGGCTGACAGCTGGTCGAAAAAGATAAATCAATAACTGTCACTTTCTAATTACAAGTAGTATAAACACGTCTAAGATGTACCGTGTTATGTGTGTGGATGTAAGGGTGGTAATCGGGAAGCTTGATGCGTGTCGAGTCTACACTTTAAGGAATTCACACAGGAGGATTTTGCAACTTCGGTAGTCAGGGCATTCCACGCTGCAACCACTCTGTTACTGAAAAGGAACTTTCGTCCATTGATTATCGATTTCCCTGCGTAGTTTTAGGGGATGACCGCGCAAAGTGGGCGTATTAGCTTGGGTGAAATAATCAGTGGGATCTAAACAACAGTCTAGGCCGTTGATAATGCGAAATGTTAGTATAAGGTCACCACGTAATTGCCTGTAGGAAAGGGGAAACATGTTGAGGGTTGACAGTCTCGTTTCATAGGGCAGTGCTCCCAGACTTTGTGTCATTTTGGTCGCCCGTCTCTGGACCTTCTCCAAATCGGTATAGTCCTTGGCAGTCCAAGGTCTCCACGCCTGTATGGCGTATTCTAGATGAGGTCGTACGAAGGTGCCAAGTGTTTTTGAGAAGCAGTCAGGGTCAAATCCCATAAATGCTCGCCTAACGAGTTGCAATGTTGCCGTAGCCGATTTAACCGCCTTCGCGCAGTGAAGTGTTGGTTTGAGTGAAGATTTAATCCATACACCTAAGTCCTTCTGACTGTCAACCTGTTGCAGTGGTGTGCCGTGTAGAAAGTAAGTCCTGGGGCTGGAGGCTCTGAAGCTGCCTAGTTGAAGAAAGTTGCACTTGCTTATATTGAAGGGCATAAGCCAGCGCTTCCACCAGTCTTCGAGCCTGTTCAAGTTTGCTTGCAGGTGGTCTGCGTCTGCCGCATTGTGAATAACTTTCCACAATTTAATGTCGTCGGCAAACAGGATGGTATCACAGTCTAGGTCCTTGACGCAGTCATTTAATGAGAACGAGAAATAACGTGGGACCTAAGACTGAGCCCTTTGGGACGCCGCTCACCACGCTTACCTCCGAGGACTGTTGACGCCCGACCTGCACTCTTTGGGACCGTCCAGCCAAAAAGCTCTGGATCCATACAAGAAGGCGTCCACGAATTCCGGCGTTGCGCAGTTTGTGCAAGAGACATTGGTGGGGAACGCTGTCGAAGGCCTTTTTGAAGTCGATGTAGATGGCGTGCACCACACTACCTTCATAGCGTGCTTTGGTCCAGCGTTCGAGCGTAAAGAGCAGATTCGTGAGGCAGGACCGACCACTTCGAAAGCCGTGTTGTGCATCAGAGCGGAGGAGGTGGTGCTGCTCGAGGAACTGCATCAAGGCCTTCTTAATGATCTTTTCCATGATGTTGCAACAGATGGAGGTAAGACTCACTGGCCTGTAGTTATTCGCAGACGCACGACTTCCGCCCTTAAAAAAGCGGAGTGATGGTAGCGGACTTCCAGTCAGAGGGCAGGCACCCGGTAAGAAATGACGTTTGGAAGATCAAGGCTAATGGCTTGGACATTTCGGGAGCTAGCTCATTTAGCAGCTTGGCGGGGATTACATCAGGGCTTGGGGAGGTCGATTCTTTTAGGTTTAGTAACTCATTCCGAACAATTGCTTCAGTGAAAAATACGGCTTCGAGGGTAGGCGTTTCTTCGTCTTCAAACATAGGTAAGCAAAAATCAGGTTCACTTGCCACGACGGACCGGAAGAACTGAGACAGGTGCTCCGCCTTATCCTTGTCATCGGAGATTTCCATTCTCTCGGCTGTTCGCAGCAGTGGGATGGTATCCCTGTTCCGCGTGCTTTGTCCTATGAAGCTGTAAAGGACTTTGGGATTAACCATAGCACGGTTCAAAAGATCCTTTTCAAAGGCTTTCCGATCTCTGGCGATGAGAATTTTGACCCCATTTCTCTGTAACTTATAACTGCTTAGGGATTCTGGCGTTCGGTCAGTCAGGCATCTTTTCCACAGAGTCCTCTTCTTTGTTAACTTCCTTCTTAAAGGAAGGAGTCAACCAGCGGGACCTACTTGTTAGTCTTCTGTGCATGATTGGGCAGTGGTTGGAGATGAGATTGTGGACTAACTCTTTGAACTGACACCAATCCGCTTCGACATCGCCGGAGAGAGTGAATGCCCAGTCGATAGGGCTAAGAATCATTCTCATCTGTTCGAAATCTCCGCGCCAAATATTGTGTCGGGAATCGAGCGGTTGTGCAAGCAGGGAGAAGAAGGTGTATTCCCACATGAGAACTACATGGTCACTCTGGCCCAACGGAGGGAGGCAATTCACAAATTCGATGTTGTCAGAGGACTTGGTGAACACTAGATCAAGGCAATTCATTTGTTGGTCCTCTCGAACTCTCGTTGGAAACATTACGTGTTGGGTGAGAGGCAGATTGTCGGAGATACGCAGTAACTGCTGGTCGAGTGCTGCTTCAGAGCAGTCGGCTGAGGCCGGGCTCCAGTTTATGTGAAGTGCATTCAAATCTCCAACCATGAGAGTAGTCGGTGGCATTGAAAATAGCCTAAATTCCTCCAGCAATTGGGCATCAGCTTCAGGGTCATTGCTCTGTGGGCGATATACTGTCAAGATATCGAGGCTTTGAGAGCCCGGTGCCCTTATCGTCGGCCACAATGCTTCCGTACTACAAGTCAATTGGGCAGTTTATTATGAAACGTATAAGCCATTCATAACAAATGTTACTATGCCTCCACACCTCCGGATTTATCTGTCTCAGCGGAACAGTTGAAATCTAGGGAGCATGAGCTCTCTATCATAAAATTGTTCGGACAGCCATGTTTCCGTTATTGAGATAACGTCTGGGTGGATGTCGTGGTTATGGATACGAAGTTCATCCACTTTAGAAAGTACACTTTGCGCGTTGGTATACATGAATATGAGTTTAGAGAGCATGCGCGATTTTATATCAACCCTGACACCGGATAACCTGGTAGCCTGGCGAATATATTCATGGCAAAGTTGAAAGTTTTCCAACTGCGTCACCAGATCAACGGTTTAAGATACTATGGGCGGTGGTACGTGGATAATATATTGGCAATTGAACCGAAACAAATTGACATCACCTCAAGTCGTCTACTGGATGATATATATTAGGCGTATCCATCAATAAAATTCACTCTGGTGGAATAGGAAGAACAGTCCAACGTTTCATTTGCCTTTATGAATGTGCTTTTGAGCAGAAGACCTGACGGCAGCATTGGACGAAGCGTCTATCGTAAGATAACCTTGTCCTGAAAAAACACGCATTTTGGAAGTTTCGTAGCGCTAAACTCTAAACGCAATTTAGTCCGCTGTGTATGACAGAAAGAGTGAGAAGAATCTGCCCAGCTGATATTGTTGAGAAAGACCTTAAGGCCATCGAAGGCCTTTTTTGTGCCAAAACGGGTATCCAGATCCTTCACCTGTTCCACCTGTGGACTGGGCAGCTTATATTGGTGGCAGGAGCAGACGTTTATCCAATAGAATGAAAGAACATCTCTCAGCAGGCCAGGTTAAAAAAGCGTCAAACAAAGAACATAAAGAGCTAGATCCTCGCGCGCTCATGAGGTAGACGCAGACCACCTTCTACGCAGACCAGGGAGTCCTACAGTGTAATTTAGAAGGTGCCATTAAACTATCCAAAATCAGCTTGGGCGGCGCTTCTTGGCTACGGCAGAGGCGGCTGCAATCAGGCTACGCGGAGCGGACCGGTGCTATGCGCCCAGAAGAATTTCCTACAGGTTGCGCCCACAGTTGGCATGGGTCAAAGCCACTAAGCCAACCACCCACCCACCCGGCCGCACGCCCGCCCGCCCGCCCCCATGTAATAACCTTCGCCGCCGTGACCCACCTTCTCGCTGACTCGGACTGCAATTGTGCTCTTTCACTCTCCCCCTCCCCTCCCCTCCCCCCTCCAATGCCCACGTACAGCTTAATTATCCACGCGCCAGTATCGCCTATTCATCCATTACATCTTCAATAGTGGCCATATAGGCCTGAAGAGGAAAATCTACTAGCCCAGACCACATCTATGTATATTTACTCCTTCTTCTGTTCCACCTGTGGACTGGGCAGCTTATATTGGTGGCAGGAGCCGGCTTTTATCCAAAAGAACATCTCCCAGCGCACCAGTTTAGGAAAGGGTCAAATAATGAACATCAAGTTGTCGATCCTCGCACGCTCACGTGGTAGACACAGACCACCGTGTAGACGCAGTCCAGAGAGGCAGTATCAATATCAGTATCAGTACATTTCAAGGAAAGTAGGCGTGTACCTTTGAAATCCCTATTTTTTACATGCAGAGGATATATGTGGAGGAAATGGAAAGGAAGTATCATGAAGGAAATGCGATGGGAAAAGCAAAAACTTGACTGATGTACACAGAATGTCATGCGTTAACAGAGTTTAGAGGCGCATTCACTTGCTTTGTTGATAAAATACAGCGGACATTAGAAGCACACTTGTAGTAGCATCTCCATAACAATAAATCGTAAATGTTGGCTATCAAGGTGGCTGCAGACCCCCGTTATTGTGGTTCGCGCTCAAATGGTGATCTAGACTCCGTTTAAAAGTATCGACGGATGCCGACATAACAACATCCTCAGGCAAGGCATTCCAAGCTGCAGTCACTCTCTTGGAGAAGAAGAACTTTCGTGTGTCTAGCCGGGCACCAGTCCCACGCAGTTTGAGTGAATGGCCTCTCATGTTTGTCGTAGTCACCAACTCGAAGAAGTCTCCTGATGCGAGGCAGCAGCCCTGATTGCGCACGATGCGGAATGCTTGTATCAGGTCCCCACGTAGCTGTCTGTTACTCAAAGGAAATAGGGCAAGATAAGCTAATCGTTTTCCGTAGGGTAGTGACCACTGCCCAGATACAAGTTTCGTTGCTCGCCGTTGAACTTTTTCAAGTATGCCGAATTCTTTAGCGGTCCAGGTTCTCCATGCTTGGATAGCAAACTCAAGATGCGGTCGCACGAAGGTTTTAAAGACCTTGGCGAAGCAGTCGTCATCAAAGTAGGAGAACGCCCGTTTGACGAAGTATAGAATAGACATCGCCGACTTGGCCACCTTTGAACATTGCAGCCAAGGCTTAAGCGAGGTTGTGATCCATACACCCAAGTCCTTCTGCGCGTCGACTACTTGCAGTGGTTTGTCAGCCAGACGGTAGACTGTGTGATTAGGGGAACTGGTTCTGCCGACCCGTAGGAAATTGCACTTGTTTACGTTGAACGGTAGAAGCCAGTCTTTCGACCATTGCTCGAGGTGGTCCAGGATTGTCTGCAGTCGCGCCTCGTCAACATCGCTTCGTATGGTACTCCAGATCTTTATCTCATTGGCAAACATTGCGACATCGCATTTCCCTTCGTTTGCACAGTCATTGACGTATACGAGGAACAGTGTAGGGCCCAAAACAGAGCCTTGGGGAACACCACTCCTAACGGCAACCTCGGCAGGTTGCTGGGCACTGATCTGGACGGCTTGAGAGCGGCCGATTTAAAAGCTCCAAATCCTCATCAGAAGCTTACCTCGCACTCCTGAATGGCTAAGTTTGTACAGAAGGCGGTGGTGAGGCACACTATAGAAGGCCTTTTTAAAGTCGATGTAGATTTCCTCTATCAACAGCCCTAGTCCAGTGTTACAGACAGTACAGCAGATTTGTCACACAGGACCTGTTTTTGAGGAATCCACGCTGGAAATCGGAAAGCAAACGTTTTTGTTCCACGAACTGCATTCATTGTTGCTTAATTATAATCTCCATAATCTTACAGCAAATGGAGGTGAGGCTGACAGGTCTGTAATTGCTCGCAGAGACCCGACTTCCGCCCTTGTACACTGGCGTAATCAATGCTGACTTCCAGTCGGGTGGCAAATATCCGGTCTCGAAGGATATATTGAAGAGCATAGAGAGTGGCTTAGACTTACCACCGGGGAGTTCCTTGAAAATCTTCGCCGAAATCTCATCGGGACCTGGTGATTTGGATTCGTGTAGCCTCAGCAACTCCGTCAGAATCTTACACAATGTGAACAGAATTTTACAAGGCGGCACCAAACTAAGCACAAACAAATGGGTCAGCGATTCTGGGCTACGGCAGAGGCGGCTGCAATTTTGCTCCTTAACTCTCCTCCACCCCTCCCTCCCCTCCCCCTCCCCTCTCAAAACCCCAGGGTACAGATTAATTATCCACGTGCCCGTGCCTCCTTTTCATTCATTACTTCTTCAATAGTAGCCACATAGGCCTGAAGAGAATTATTTATCGAAAGCAGACGTATACTCACCAAATTGTCTTTTGAATTGTACAATGGCAATTTTCGCAACTCTAAAACAGTTTAAAGATGCCGCGGTGTTGTTGAAGGCACTAAGTGGGAGTGCCTACGTTTCAGCAGCACCGAGCCTGTGGAGGCGAAAGTACGAGCTAGGTTTTTTAGGGGTTGCCTCCTCGAGGGAAATGAGTACCCGAACTCCTACTTGAGATGAATGCGTCGAAGTGAGTCGAACGGTTATGATCTCCTGAGATAGCTTGAGAAGATACGCCGAGAATGGACTAGAGAACACGCGTGTTGTAAAGGCGGTGGAAGAACTGAGACGTCAGGTGTGTCAACGGGCCGCCACCATATTCGATCAACTTGGCGAGGACGAGCGACATGACATCGACAATTATGTATGTGCAATCCTTTTCGGACAAACGTGGAGAGGCATTCAAGAGGGCTTCCCTTATTCCCCCTCCAAACACCAGGTTTAGCTTAATTGTCTACGTGCACGTATATTTTTTTCATTAATTTTTTCTCCAGTTGCAGCCATATAGCCCTTAAGAGAATTATTTTCTAAAGCAGACATATGCACGCAAAATGGCCTTTAGTAATTAAATGACGTTTGCATCTAAATATCCTTTCATCACTAGCTCGAATTCATATATGGCCTGTTGTCGTCTGCCTACATTTTGACTGTATATTCCGAATCTGTTTTCCTAGGTTTTGTTTTATCCTTGAATCTTTTAAGTTAATTTTTTTTGTTTTTCATCATGGGAAACGGGATGTTGCCTAGTTTTCATTGGTTTTTTGTCATAGGCCCAGTCGATTTCTATAAATTTTGGATGGTTCTCACTACCGTGATCGTAAACTTAGCCTTCTGTTTTTATAGAGAAATGTTTTCTTCCGTTTAACTAATTTACACTTTTCGTTCGTTTTAGATTACGTTGAGTTTAAGATCGGCCTCAAATGGGTGCTTAATACTTCATGATTTCTAGTGCTTTCATCCGATCGTCGATAATGACAGATTCTGAATTACATGCCTGCTGAGAACATTAAAATAAGATTAATCTTGAAGGCATTTATCGAATTAGTGAGTGTTCGGGCGCTTCTTATCACGAAGATGGTCGTTTGGATCAAATGTGTAGACTCAATCAAACATCAACCTTCATTTTTGAGAAAAATGGCTGTCTACGACGAAAGACAGCAACGAATATGCCTGCGATCAACGAGAAGACTTTCCATAATAGGTAGTCTGTTTTGAAAGAGACGCATTAGTGCTCTCCTTTGACGGATTTCTGTGTACTCTGCATTTTTTGCACGGTGAGGCCAAGTAAAGATTCGACACTTTTGGCAGTTTCTTTCACGTTCCTAAATAATACTAAATTTTTTACCGTAAACGAAAGAACATGCATTCCTTTACACATTGAGGCCATTTTTACTGTGCTTGCTCGCTTTTAAACTGCGTTCTTCGATCATGAATGCCCGGCAGAACGCTCATATTAATACTGATATTTAGCTGAAATTCTTAATGTTTTGCTCGTTCTAGTTCTGAATAAGGTATGCACAGAAATGAAACTACGCGAGAAGTAGTGTTCCAGATGTTCAAAACTGGAAATGACCATTTGGTGGTGGTCGTTAACGTGACGTCAGGTAGAATTTTTCAAACGACAAACAATTTCAGCCCATTTAAACTTAGGGATCACTATCTGCGCTATTAGTGCACTTTGGGGCACCAAATCGCACAGGTCTGCTAATTGGACATGTGGGATTTGATGAAACCTCTTGTGTAGTTTAAATAATCTTTCTGTTAGCAGGTTGATGACTAGGTTTAACATCAGGCGTAAAATAAATTTTCAAGTTCAGCTAGATCTGTTTATTAAAACTCTCGCGGGTAAATTAATACTTTTTCAATAGAAAAGTCGTTCAGATGCGTTAACGGAATCTCGGACATATATGAGGGCAGGAAATTGCTTAAATATATTCCATCGCTCATTTTCGCTAAAAGGTACCGATATCTTAATTGATATAGTTGCTTTAACACAATTTCTGCACAAGATAAGGACATTTCATTGAAGGATGTGGCGAGGAAACAAAATGCGCAACGTGAAAGACGTCCAACAAATCTTGCATCAGTTTCCGCTATCAGATTTCATGAGATAGGTCACGTGGAAGAAGACACGATCGCCGGGACAAGAGCCTTATTATCCTGACGTTTCGGATTCCTGCTCGAATCCATCACCAGAGACAAAAGCAGATAAGAGTGGTTCATGCATATGCAGCTGCAGTATTTATAGCATGCAGTAGCCATGCTACCGCACGCCTATGAATATTCACGTCTCCCCCACCCCCCTTCATCGGGGATCCTTGCACGTGGCGTGATGGCCGACATTGGCGTCGTTAATTGCGGCAATTTCATCACGTGCGTTGGATGTTGGTGTGATGATTGCTCGACCATCTGACGCGCTGAGCCGGGTGTTGGGAAGAGTGTTCACCTGTGCGCTTCCCGCGTGGCCAAATACACCGCCTACACGAAGTTTCCCATCGCCGGGCCGATCGGCATGGGTCAAAGCCAATAAGCCAGCCACCCGCACGGATGTAATTACCTTCGTCGCCGGCGGGATCCATATTCTCCCTCAGGCTGACTGCAATACTGCTCAATCGCTCTCCACCCTCCACCCCTCTCCAAACCCGAGATACAGCTTAATATTAGATAATATGGGCGGTGGTACGTGGATGATATATTGGCAATTGTACCGAAACAAAGTGACACCACCTCAAGTCGTCGACTGGATGACATAAATCAGGCGCATCCATCAATAAAATTCCCTCTGGAGGAATAGGAAGTACAGTCCGCTGCACTTGCCTTTCTGGATGTGCTTCTGAGTAGCAGACCTTACGGCAGCATTGGACGTAGCTTCTATCCTGATAGAACCTGTTCCGGAGAATACATCCATTTTGGAAGCTTTACACTGCTAAACGCTAAAAGCCATTTAGTCCTCTGTATGACAGAAAGAGTGAGAAGAATCTGCTCAGCTGATAGTATAGATGAGTAAGAGAATAAGACCATCGTAGTCCTTTTGTAGTGCAAGAACAGGTATACTGATGGATTGATTGCAGCTAAGAACATGACCGAAAGACCACAAAAGCCCGCGATATTGACGGAAGAAGATAAAAGGCTCTTCATCAGGGTCCCATTTCAAGGGGATGCTGCAAGCATGCGAACTTTTAAGCAGACGCCTAACTCAAGCTCTATTAGCACAGACCTTTCCAGCAGCTGACACCCAGCAGTCCCGTCCTACTATCCGCAGTTGGCAAGGAAAAACTACCAGCTCAGACCACCTCCATGTGTATTTACTCCTTCAGCTGTTAAACCTGTGGGGCAGAATATGTTGGTGGAACGAGACGGCGTTAAAACCAATAAATAAAAGAACATCTGCCAGCATGGTTAGGAAAGGGTCAAATCTGCTGGATTCTCGCGAGCTCACGTGGTAGACACAGACCAGAGAGTCCTTCAGAGTAACTTACATGGTGCCATCAAACTATCCAAAAACTGCTTGGGCAGCGATTCTTGGCTACGGCAGAGGCGGCTGCCATCACGCAAGTCGGAGCGGACCGGTCCTATGCGTCCAGAAGAATTTCCTACATGTCCCACAGTTGGCCTGTGCCGAAGCCACTAAGCCATCCAAGGATCATGAAATTACCTTCGCTGCCGCGGGGGGGGGCACAGTTGGCATGGGTCAAAGCAACTATGCTAGCCACCCACCCGCCCGCATCATGTAATTACCTTCGCCGCCAGAGCCGAGACCCTCCTTCTCCCTAATACTGACTGCAATTGTGGTCTTTCACTCTCCCCCTCCTCTCCCCTCCCCTCCCCTCCCCTCCCCTCTCCAATCCCCAGGTACAGCCTAATTATCCACGTGCCAGTATCGCATTTTCAACCAGGGGGAGGGGTTGCTTGCCCATATCTTCCTTTATTTCATTACTTCTACAATAGTAGCCGTATAGGCCTGAAGACAATGATTTATCTAAAGCAGACTTATGCTTGCAATTTTGCCTTTAGTAATTTAATAACGTCTATAAGTAATGTTTCCGTT